AATGTTTCAACTTCTGTTGACAATAGAGCATTAAATGCATTGATCGCAGAAGATAAAACAAGAAAATGTTTCAACTTCTGTTGACAATAGAGCATCTATGTTCTAGCAGACAGGAGTGAAACAGAAAAAAAAGTATGATAAAATTGCAATTACTATTCATCTATAAGCAAAACTTCTTTATAAAGAGACTGAAGGTTAGGATAAAACAAGATTAATCATATGATAACAGTGTGATAATCGATTGATGTGAAAATCGTTATAAAATGGAAACCACGAGGATGCAATCCATAGATATTACATTTTTGGGACCTAGACTGTTAAAACCCATAAACCCCAGGGACCAAGGAGGTAACTTACTCTATTATATATATATATATATATATATAGAGAGAGAGAGAGAGAGAGAGAGAGAGAGAGAGAGCCACCAAATGAGAACATAGTAATAAAATATGATAACGCGAGAATTGGGGTGAATATGGGATGGTTGATCACGTTGAAGGTGTTTAAACAATCTAATTCAATGTTTGGGTTTGAAAAATCTTAATCCAACTCAATATAAACAAAAGTACAACACCAACATACCCAAAACTGTAGAGGTGGGGTTGCCTTAGTTGAAACTTTGGTAACTCAAATTATTGTTATTTTGAATATGGATAGTTATATATTCACAACTCTTTTCTTCATCATCATTGTTATTACTTAACCATAAACATTCTTAAGTATATTAAATTCAACCGTTGCAATCACATTTATTGAACATATATACAAATAAGTTATACATAGATGGTGATTAAATTTAATGTATGTGTATATGAATAGGGCGATGGTGTAATTCTTTAATGTACATATTACTAAGGGACTTAACGATCGTATTAAATCTAGGTAATGGAAAGGTATCAGTTTAGACTTTCATCTTTTGTTTAAGAATCAATTTTTGTTAGTTTAATTTGATTTGGGGTTTTCGATTTGTATTCCATTTTCAATTGAATTCGATATGGGGTTTTTGTTTAATTCGATTTTGTATCACAAAGGGATCATGAATTTGATTTACATCCCCCAAAATCCACCCCTCCTATGATTTTATGGTGTTTGCTTAAAGTTAATAGTATTGTTTCATTTGTGAATTTTCTTTGTTCCAATGTTTTTTTTTATCAAAGTTTATAGATGAAACTAGAAAATAATACTAATAAAACATTTATTTTTGGTAGAACGGTTAAATCTGATACAAATTGCACTTAAATCATATGTGATTATTATGAAACACAATCAACGTATGGGTGCATGGGAGACTTGGCTCGCTACCTAGGTCACCGCTAAGCTCGTGCATAAATACAGTGAGTTTAATATAAAATCACATGTGATTTCTTATATGATTAATGGTATCCTCTCAACTTGACTCTCTTCTTCCTGTTTATATGTATAGAGAGAGAATAAAAAACAAAGGGAGGGGGTGGGATGCAAATGTGAAATGTACTACATCTATAACCACCTCTCAATTTATTCTCCATCTCTTATTGCTATATAGATTCACAGATATAACAAGAGCCAGACCATCCTTTACCAACTGAAAAGAAAAAGTTTGCAACTTTAGTCATGGATGATTTAATTGTCTCCCCATCCTCATCTTCCTCCATGGTCTCTTTTCCCACCACTACGACTCCTCGACCTTCTGATACCATCCAGCAAAAGCTCCAAAACCTCCTCCAAAACCAGTCCCAACCATGGGCATACGCCATTTTCTGGCAGACCTTCAACGACGACTCCAATGGCTGTGTCTCCTTGTCCTGGGGAGACGGCCATTTCCAGAACAACAATATTGATGTCCCAACCACCACCTTGCCCTCATCTGCGGCATCCACCACCTTTCTCTCTGAACCTGACCCTGACCCCGACTGCAGGAAGTCTGTTCTCAGGGAAATCCAGGCCCTCCTTGGACCAGAAAACCGCGACGACGCCGAGTGGTTCTATGTCATCTCCTTGACCAGGTCATTCACCCCAGGAGACGGGTCGGCGCCAGGTACGGCTTTCGGTTCAAACTCTATGATCTGGCTAAGTGGGGTGGATCAGTTCCAGTCTTTCAACTGCGAGAGAACTAAAGAGGCTCAGATCCATGGGTTCGAGACCCTGGTTTGCATCCCCACCCCAAATGGCGTTGTAGAAATGGGTTCGTATAATGTCATCGAGGAGTCCTGGAATTTGGCTCATCAGGTTCAGTCACTGTTTGGAGGAGGTTCTACTTCTTCTTCTTCTTCTCCTCCTGCTCCCCTTCCTAATTTATTCCAACACAAACACGAAAATAACGCCACCATCCATCCTCTGAAATTAAATACCCACAGCGATAATCACCAGAATATTATTTCATTTGCTGATATGGTTCTTATGGCTGGTGGATTGCAAGAGGAGGAGGGCATGAACATGATAGAATTCGAGTCGACAACACCCGATGACCAGATGTCCAAGAACATCGGAAAATTATGCATGAACAGGAACACCAGTACTGCTCCAACGACCACCAATGCCTACCTCGAGACTGCGTCGGAGCATTCAGATTCCGACTGCCAGCTGGTTCTTGCCACGTCGACCGAGAAGCGAGTGCAGAAGAAGAAGGGAAAGAAGACAGGTGGGCGATATCCTCCGGTTAACCACGTAGAGGCCGAGAGGCAGCGGCGTGAGAAGCTCAACCAGAGGTTCTACGCCCTGCGATCCGTGGTCCCCAACGTTTCTAGGATGGACAAAGCATCCCTCTTGGCAGATGCCGTCTGTTACATCAACGAACTGAAAGGAAAAGTAGAGTATCTTGAATCTCAGTTGCATCGTCGTAACAGCACTACCCAAGGCAAAACGAAGAAAGTGAAATTGGAATCGGCGGACACCATAGACAACCATCACCTCCAAAGCAATAGCAATACTTGTAGCTTGTATCAAACAACTCGAATGTCAAACAAACCATCATCAAGGACTATAAGTATGAACAAGACGACGAGTAAGCTTAATAACTCGAGTAGCTTCGGGGAAGTGGAAGTGAAAATCGTGGGTGAGGATGCAATGATTAGGGTTCAGTCGGGAAATGCAGGGTTACCGGCGGCGAAACTGATGGATGCTCTGAGAGAAATGAAAGCACAAATCCAGCATGCAAGCATGTCATGTGTGAATGAGATAATGCTGCAAGACGTGGTGGTTAGGATCCCTGATGCCACCGATGAAGAAGAACTAAAATCTGATCTCATTCGGAGATTAGACCGCTAGCAAACAAGCATGCAAGCAATTAAGCAAGAAATCTTGAATTAGACTTGAATTGAAGTTGCTTAATGAGAGTCGTAATTTATATTAATGTGTAAGATTAGGTAGGATTGTACAATGCAAATGTGGAGTCGTGGGGGATGAGAGAATGGCAATAAAAATCAATGGAAGGGAAGCAGGGGAACTGTGTGTTGTATGGAAGGGAGCATGAATGATGAGAAAAGGCTTGGTGTGTGTGTTTACTGCGTGTGTACCCTTCTCCAAAGATTCAGCGATTCTTTTGACTCGAGTCACGTGATATAATGTCAGATGAATATATAGAAGAGGGTTGGGTCGGGGGTAGATTTGTGTAGTACATACAACTCTGTCTCGCCCTCTTCGCATGGCCCCATGCATGGGAATGCAACAGATGTAATGCAACCTCCTAATCACAATTAATTAATGCTCCCAAAACGTAATTGGTTTATGTCTCCAAATCTCGAATAAATTCATATCTCATCCTTAATTACGTATTAACACATTAGATATGATGTATTTTTTTGACACTTTTTTAAAAGTAAAAGTTTTTTTTTGGAAGGGTGTCTCATGTCATGTCTGAACTAATCCTGATAAATTGTGACCATAAGAAATTAATTCTGATAAACTCAATGGTCACATTGTTAATTTTGTATAATTGAATCGAACCCTAGACAGACGGAATATTCCACCACATCTCCCAAGACCTCCACCACTAGGCTACGACCCTTCTGGTTCAAAAAATAGAGGGTTGTATGATGCATTTGGCCTCTATTATAGAATCAAGAGTAAATTAGGTTTTTAGTTCCCATGATTTGTTGAAAATATCTATTATTTTCATCCATATGATTTTGAAATTATAAAATTCATTTCTATGGTTTATAATTTATTATTTTTCATTCTTATGATTTAAAATTTATTGTTTTTTTCGTCCCAATGATTTATAATTCATTTCCATTTTAGTCTTTCATACTTAGACGTAGTGTTTGGCCTTAGGATCTAAAATAGAAATGAATTGTAAACCGAAATTTAAAACCACATGGATGAAATCCATAATTTTTAATAAATCATAGGAACGAAAAATATAAATTTGAACAAACCACAGAGATGCAAAACATAATTTACTGGAGAATGAATCAAGGAACCTGTAAAATTGTTTGGTATTATAATATTTAGAAATTTATAACATCTTAAATACTTAATTTTGTAGGAATCATCTATTATTAATACTACGATAAAATTGAGTTTATAAAATATCCTTTATTTATAAGTGTCATAACAGAACGTTTTATAAGAAACAATTACAGGATCAAAAAATGAAATGTTCTATCTAAAAGCATTGTAGTAAGTTGATAGAACACTTTTGGATATCTTAACAAATTATTTATGACATTTTAAATACAGAAGGTTTTGTATTAATAACAATGTCCTATAAATTTATTGATGTGACCAAAAGCGCCCTATAATTTCTTACATCGTCTTTTTTCTATTTTTTAATCTTACGAAATATGTCTTATAAATGGTCTATTAAGACGCTTCAATTGATTATTTTGTAGTGTAAATACATTAAATTTTAAGAAGGTTAGATGTTTTCCCCAAAGCTCATGTTCACATTCTATTTATTAACCACATAAAAACGCATTACTTAGGTTTAGATCTTTGGGGATATTATATGTATATATATATATAGGGAAGGGTTCAAACGAGAACCCCTGTGATTTACGAGAATGCAAGAACAACCCAATAACCTCATATTGTGATAAAAAATAAAATTAAAAGATTTTTAAATTAAAATTAAAATTTAAAAAGATTTAAAAAAAATTAAAATTAAAAGGGTAATAATGGAACATCAAATCTTTTAAACACGATCA